GTTTAAATCTGGGATTATGTTATGCTGAGAAATAATGTTAACTTTATGTAAGCAGTTACAGCTCAGATTATGAGTTGAAGATGACTCTCAGCTACTACCACCTCAAATTTTAGCTCCATATCTGTTGAACTGACTGAGTTACAGTCATTTATGTTGCTAAGGTCAGTCAGCTGTGGCAGCCATCTTTGTCAGGTCCAGTGGTGGGCACCAGCCCGTTAAAGCGCAAATCCACTTATGAATTATGAAAATTTGTAAAACCGCTAAAGCACAAATGAAATATTTACATCCGCAATTAGTGGATTTGCGCTTTAACGGGCTGGTGCCCACCACTGGACCTGACAAAGATGGCTGCCACAGCTGACTGACCTTAGCAACATAAATGACTGTAACTCAGTCAGTTCAACAGATATGGAGCTAAAATTTGAGGTGGTAGTAGCTGAGASTCATCTTCAACTCATAATCTGAGCTGTAACTGCTTATATAAAGTTAACCTTATTCCTCAGCATAACATAACCCCAGATTTAAACTGTTAATTAGTCAGAATGTCAGGCTTTTATTTATGTTTTGTTTTCTTAATCTTGTAAAAGAAAAAGGGTCTAACTGAGCCTTTGATGCCGTCATGAAGTCACTGATCAGATGAAAAACCTCAGATTTGACTAATTTGCTGCTTCACCCTAAGATCTGCTGCGTCGCAGRAAGTTTCTGTGAAGCGGAGGAGAGCAGAGGACAGATCTGAACCTGACTGAGAGGCGCCGACATGAGGAGTCTCTCCTCGTTTAAAGAGCGTGTGTGTCTGTGTGTGCTGGGTGTGTGAACACACAAACACACACAGAGACATGACTCAAGCTGTGTTAGCATCAGGACCAAAGAGGCTGCAGGTTCCCACAGAGACAGGATGCACAAMCCCCCCCTGCTGCTCCCATTAAAACCAAACAAATCAAGGTTAAAATAAAACGCTGAAAATCAGCAGCTGCTCTGGAGGATTAATGAGGCAGGATCAAACTCCTGACACTTYACACTTACAGTTTGCCAAATTTCAGCCCAAAATAAACGCACGCTGGTGTGGATTGTTGTCTTTTCTTCCACTGAGAAGCTCAGGCTGCAGTCTGCAGGCGATTCTTTTCTTACCTTGGCGTTGTAGGCGATGTAGTGCTTGGCCAGAGCCTCCGGGGTGTGCATCCATGACTTGTCTGAGGAAAGAAACAAAGCCACAGTCAGCTCCTCYGTTAGCAGCATTAAAGAATGACTTATTAACGAAAGCCTAATGAGAATCAACTCGTCCAGCGCTGCAGAGGACGCAGTAAACCTGAATCAGCCACTGTGCAGGTCGAGACGAACGCAAGACGCCCTCCAGGTCACATTCATGCATATTTCGTCTGAAGATTCATTACGGCGGCAATAAGGCGTTTATGAGCAGGAAACGAAGAGCGAGGGAAGCTGAGGAGCGATGGGATGATCTGGATCGGACCACCGGTGACCTGGAAGGACCTCAGATCTGATGCTCACTTTCACAATCCTGAAAACAACTAATTCAGCCTAAATGATGGTGATTAAACACATTATCTGCTAAAAACTGATCACTAAGATAAGAAATAAAATGGTTGCCGTACACACCTATAAGCGCCACGCGTCAGTGCGTGGCGCTTATAGGTGTGTACGGCAACCATTTACAAATTTACTGTTCAACATGACGTCAATTAGGGCTGTCAAATAATCAATATTTTTTATCTGATTAATCCCAAAGTAGCTCTGAATTAGTCATGATTAATCTTAAATTTAATATACATTTCTATTGCATATTGAT